ATGATCAATACAAGGATGATGTTCTTGTTTCATTGATGGATGTGCGAGATGTGGGTTCATTTGAATAAAAGACAGAAATGACCATAGAAGGATACTTAACATCTCTTCATCTGAATTCAACCAATTTCTACTTCATATATAGTTCTTCATTTTAATTTTTCCTTTCATTGATAACAATTGTTGAGGAATTTGATGGAAAAAAAGTATTCATGACCTCTCTCTTATTCTATTCCTCTTGCAGTTTCTCTCTTTGCATCATCCTCATTGGACATCTACGCTCTTCGCTTTCTATGGATGGTCAAGATTGACCCTTCATAATCCTCTTAGTTTAGCGGACTTTTCACAAAAACAAAATTAAACAAACGACGAAAAAGGAAATTGTGTGAACATGTATGAAACATTTATGAAATTTCAATGCAAAATCCGAATAGAAGAAAGACATTTCATAACACAATAAGCCTCCATTGGTCAATATGGAAGACTGCAAACGAAGATCAATGCCGTTCAGAAAGAGGCTAATTAGGCAATGTGATGAGTCATTCAGCCAAGCAGACTCTTCTGAATATTCTGTGAATAAACGAAAAGAAAAAAATGTTTTAACACATAGAGGGAGAGGGGATAGATAGACAGAGGGAAGGAAGGAGATTGGAAGAGAAGGAGTGAGGGAGAGACTGGCTGAGGAACAAAAAAGTATTTATTCATTTGAAATAAAAGATAACTCAATTAGAAAGTGGCTAAGAACAACAATATAAACTGTTCTTCACATTTTTTCTCGCCTTCCTCTTCTCTCTATTTCTCTCCCTCCCCTCCTCACTTCATCTATCTATCTATCTCTATCAACTTCTATCAGGCACGAAATGACATTTCTGAACTCTTCTGACCTCAACTAAAGTTTATTTCTGCAAGTACATTGCGAAATGAAAGAAAAACGATTGCCATTTGAAGTAAACTAAAGACTATTTTGACCACCATCAATCCCCGTGGGTGTGTGTGTCAGAGAAACCCTTTTGCTCTAAAGGAAAGCCTAATTGAGCAATGAAGGATGATGGGTAGTTGAACTATGGATATCATATGTATGTGTATTGCCATTAAGGACAAAACTAAATTATATTGTTCGAGAGAGAAAGCATAGAGAGAGATAGAGAGATAGATACTTCCATCACAACAACAGAATAAGGAAGAGGGAGAAATGTGAATAGAGGGAGTATGAGAACCATACGCAGAGATAGAGAGAGGGAGGGAAAGATTTGAAATTCAAGTTTACGATCAGTTTTCGTACACGAACATTATAGTTCTCAAATGTTTTAATAAATATTTATTAATATATAATATATAAAGCAATCTTCATCATTCTCAATCCACGGCGGTCATCCTTCCGATAGCGCTCTGTCTGATTACTAATCAGCTGTTAACTGAAAATAATTGTATTATTTTTATATAATTGATATAATACAGCTGTTAAGCACTTGACTAGCGCTTTGAATGTTTTTAATAACTCCCACAATGCTTCACGGGAGTCTGGAGTATTACACGCTTGCCACGTGAACCTTCATTGTGATCTAGCAGAACCACAGAGCGGTTGCACTCTCATTCTAATTCTATCTCAAGAACAACACGATAAGAGTGAGTATGCGCTTGTTGGTAGTTCATCAAGAAACTTACATAGAAGTATGTTCCAGCTACAGGTGCTCCAAGTTTTCTACCAGTATCCGAACGTAAGAAATCGGTGACAGTTTTATATTTCGAATGTAAATCAACCGTCACGGAAACATATAGTCTTGTAATTGGATTAACTGTTTTGAAAACAAGGACAATCCATAGTTTACGATCTGAAATTGTATTTAATAGAGTGTCGTTGATAGAAAAACTAACATTCTTTGGGTGGACCAGGTCGAGAAGGATTTTCAATGTTTGTTAAGGGATTAGCATTGAATATGCGTTTTGATAAGAAACCTCCATCTGAGATTGGCTCTTCCAAATCAATTATTTTGCCGGCTGAGGATGGACGGTCATAATAGAACTGCATTGTCTCAGTAGGTGATAATGGATCTGAAGAAAGAAATATTTTTTTTTGCCTTGTTCATTCCATACCGAACATCAAAACATGTAAGTAGCTTCCAGAAGCTTGTTCATGGAACAGCTTGATGTTTTTAAGAAAAGCTGGCTCTAGAAGACGATATGGACTCAACACGAAATGGTCTCCAATACGTATTTCGGGTGAATGCATTAATGCCGATGTGTGTACGTTCAATGTTACCTATTAACTTGATGTAAAATCAACATTTGTATATAAGTATTACGTATTCAATTGCTGCCATCGGAGGATTAGGTACAATACGGGGAGACAGCTTGGCTTCACTGAATGTAAAACTCATTTCACTCACTTTCAATACAATCAATCACCTGAAAACACTAGCGAACGAGTATAAGGTGGATGTTTTACAACAAAGTGATCGACTGTCAGCTGGTAGTAAATGTCCATTAGCAGCTTCAACACACTTAAAGAGAAATTCAATTTTTGAAATGGAACCAGATTCGCAAATTTACTTTGAATTCGTAAGGGCAGATGTTGACAATTGTTGGATCACAGAGCATTACATGAGGGATTTTATAAG